GATAAATAATAAGTGTTGGTAAGGATATGGGGAAACCAGAATTCTTGTGCACTGCTGGTAGGAATGTCAAATGGTTTAGCTTCTGAAAAAAAACAGTTTGGCGTTCCTCAAAAAATTAAACATAGAATTACAATACAATCCACCAATTCCACTATAGGTATATACCTAAAAGAATTGAAAGCAGAGACTCAAACATACTTGTACATCTATGTTTATAGCAGCATTATTTATAATAGCCAAAAAGTTGAAACAACTGAAATATCCAGCCACAGAAGAATGGATACACAAATATGATATGTACATACAATGGAATATTATTCAGCCTTAGGAAGGAATGAAGTACTACTGATACACACTACGACATAAATGAACTTTGGAAATATTGTGCTAATGAAACAAGCCAGCCACAAAAGGACAAATATTGTATGATACCATTTATATGAGGTACCCAGAAAAGGCAAAGAGTAGAATAGAGGCAGAAAGTCGAAGTTACCAAGTGTCGAGGGAGGAAAAAAAAAAAGGAATTATTATTTAATGGTTACAAAGTTTTTATTTGAGATGATGAAAAACTTATGGAACTAGATGGTGGTGATGGTTGTACACACTGTGAATGTGCTTAATGTCACTGAAGTGTACATGTAAAATGGTTAAAATTGTAAACTTTGTATTATGTATATTTTATCACAATAATATATATGTATATATGTGTGTGTGTGTATATATACATATTTTACTCCAAAATCTTATTCCCAAGAATTAACTCCAAGGAAATAATGCAGATGGTTGAAATATGTATATACTAGAATCCATTTACCTAAAGATCCATGAATAAAATCTGTTTTTTTTTTTAAATAGCGCTTGACACAACAAAGACACAAAAGAGACTATAAGCAAACATTAAACACAACAAGGTCAACTTTTCAAATAAAAATATGTTCATATTATTATCAAATGAAAAATAGGTGAGTTATAGAATGCATGAACAGTATGAGCCTGCTGATATAAAAATTTTAAAGTTTATACATACATGGAAAAATTTGAGATCTTTTCCAAAATGTTAATAGTGGCTATTCTCTGAATGACAGATTTGAGATGATTTTTAAATTATTCTCTTTATAATTTTCCATACTAGTTGATTTTTAAACAAATAATATTTTTAAACAAAATAGCATGCTATGATAAATTCATGTCTGTTATCACTTTTTCACATTAATTAGGAAGGATTAGGCACTTGATACTCTCACAATAGATGTTTTCTGTATTTCCATTTCCATAGCAACAATAATACTGTGTGTGAATCAGATACAGTTTTAAACGAGATACATACCTCAGATAGCGATGGTATCTCTCTATCAGTCGAAAACAGACTTATTATTTCAGAGCAACATTCAGTAATCATGTTCTAGAAATAAGAAGACAATCTAGTGAGGTTATCTTATTGGTAAATATTAGCTATTTTAATTATAATCTATTTATTTCATTTGTCTTTCCTTGCATTATCACCTAACACTAATTCCCAGGATGAGACTTAGAGGGACCCAGAGGTCACAATCCCTTATGTAGTTAGGGTTATTTGAAAAAATGCAAGATGGCCACAAAAGATAAAATTTAATTAAAAATAATACATTATTTTAGGGTTCTTTCCCTGCACATTCACTGTTAAAATTCATGTTACGGAAGACTAACAAGTAAAGTAATTCACGCCAAAATAAGATTTTGGAAAATTACTTTTCTTCTGAGAAGAGAATCCTGGAAGAGAGTCCAGAAATGGGTTTAAGCAAAGGAGAAGGGTTGGAAGTTGGGAAAGAAATGAAGAGTAAATGAATAGGAAGAGAGACTGAGTATCATATGTTATCTGTTGGCGATGACACTGCCACAGCCCCTACTGCATGGACAGAGCCATGTTTGTATGTGGACATCTGACCCACAGGCAGGGTTGAATCATTCCGATTCTCTATCATTGTAATTTCACAGAAGGAAGGACAACAGAAGAGAGTGGTTAGTACTGGCTGTGTGAGCTGAGAGATCCTGATATGGAGTGGGGCCAGATGGAAGGTGAGTAAGAAGAGGAAACAGAGATGAGTGAGAATTTCCGCCCTCTGTGGAACTGAGCTCAATCTTGGCTCCTGACTCTTCGGTTCCATTTTCGGTGAGGTCCACTGTGTATTGTTCCCAGTCCTTGGCTATGCATGAGCTTACTTACTGGACCCTGCCAAACACGGCCTCCCCACCGCACCTATTTCACTTGAGCTAATGTAAGTATAGATTTTCTTTGCTTACAATTAAAGAAGTCAAAACTATAACATTATCAGAGAAAAACTATGCCTGCAGCACAATGTTGCCAGTATTTATCCCTGAAAAAAGCAACAATTTGCTTTTATGAGAGTAATAATATATACATGTACTAACATTCAGAAATATTAAAATGATAAAACTACATTAATTTTTACATTATAACTGACCAATACTGGTTAAAACCTTAAAATAAAAAAAGCGAACAATTGAGTCACAGCCCCAAACCATGTCAAGTTTTAATAAATGCATAACATAGACCAAATTTCAGAGTTCCAAAGCTATCATTGATTTGATTCAATTTAACAAATATATTTAAGGCATTACATTAGGTACTGTAGAACACAAAGGTAAAGAAACAGGCCTTATCCTCCTGGAGTTTATAATAAGTGAGAAAAATAAATGCATGCACAACTAAATAAAATACCAAGTAGAATGTGATCAGAACATATGCTGTTATGGCATGTTATAGGAGCCTAGAGGTAGGAAAGAGTAAGTATAAGTATGATGAACAGGGAAGACTTCCTGGACAATGGGTCATATGAACTGAGTGTTGATAAAGTAGAAGGATTACAACTTCTGGTCACAGTTTAAAGGTGAACTAAACTGTTCTTACCGAGAAGTGATACTTAAGTGTGAACTTAAAGGTGAACTTAAATGTTCTCAGCAAGGAAAAAAACAAGTGAACTGGAATGGAAAGAGACAAGAAAAAGATGAATCATCTAGGAGGCTACTCCAACTGTTTGAGCAGGAAGTGATCATGGCTAAACATAGGCCAGCTGCAATGGGACAAAAAAGGAGGAAGGGTGGGCAGGACCCTCAGCTGCTACCAGTCTCCTCCAATGCACTCTCCAGGCTCCTGGCTCATTTTACTAGACACAGGAGAACACACATCTATTTCTACACTGCTTCATTATCTGTATTTCTATACTTCTAATTGAGTTCTTAGGACTGGGCAAAGTACATTTTCTTTCTATATAAAAGGTTTCAGTAACAGCCATGATAGGATACGGTCATGATTTCCTCAAGAGTTATGGAGCAAATGACACTGTATCACTAAAGATTTCACATAATGGATGAACGGCAATGTTACTTGATAAATGCCTTTCACTGCTCATCTTAACACTATCAAACAGAAATTCCAACTCAATAATGTTCTACTTCTTTGGCATTATGCGAGGTAAACCACATACACGTGTCAGAAACTGGCTGGTTCCATGTTTGGCTGTGAGAGCCCTCATGTGGCCTCACTACCACTGACATGAAGACAGGGAAGGCACTGAGCTCATCCATCCATCAGAGAGCTAGCTGCTAGGAGAGCTACGGTCGGTGAGGGGCTTGGGACACAGAATGACCCTTGCTCAATCTCTGGCACTTCTCCTTTGAAGAGGAGCGTCTGTTGATTCTACGAGAGATGGACTTCTGAGTTACTTCAAGAATAATAAAGCCAATTTTTTCACTTAGTTGAACTCATCGTCTTTCACCTGCAATATGAAAAAAGCTTCCTAAACTGTTTTCCATCCTCCAAACTCTTGTTTCCCTCATCTCTCCTTCACATGCCACCAGGATGATCTGAGCACAGCGTGGATCATGCACTGCCCTTCCAGACACTGCCCCCACCTCTTCCAACTCCCCGAACACCCAGCCCTGCTTTCCCACCACGCTTTCCTGCAGAACAATTCTCATTCACCTCTTATTCATTCGACATCTACTGGATGCATCCTAAGTGCCACAGTGTGGTAACAGGAGATGAACGGGACAGAGAGCCCTTAAGGTACTCGTGGTCTGGTGGGAGGAATAGGGGAGACAGACTTCCAGCACTATGTGTGAGATCAGAGATGGGGAACCACTCAGTTCCACCCATCTCTTCAGCCCCATCTTCCACCATATTCACCCTATACTCCTACCACAACAGATGGCTCATTGCCCTCAATATAACATTCAGTTTCATGACTTAGCATCACATCTCTTCCAGTTTTCTCAGTCAGGAATGAGTGCTCTCTACAAGTCTCCAACTAGAGGTTTCACAACCAAGTATTGAAGAGGTACTACATTTCAGTTATTGGGCCAGATATTGGAGATAAAATGAATAAGACCCCTGAGCGAAGAAATTCACAGTCAAGAGAGAAGAAGAGACACATAAACAGATAATTGCTGAAACAATAATATAAAGACACAGGATTTTTTGAGGTGCAAGAGAAAATGGCCTTTATTTCAGTTTATAGGGGCTACAAAATGCTGTCTGAGCTATTTAAGTACAAAGTCTAGCTCAACTTTCTGTCTCTCTCTCTCACACACACACACACACACACACACACACACACACACACACCCCTTTACCAATGAGATTTAAAAAGTGATGTATTAGAATAGTTTGCATCAACAGCCCCATCATTGAGAGGGAAGGATTCTAGCACCCCTACCTTTTGTACAGTGTAGAATCCAGATAATGGGGGAAATAGGAAAACCAGAAAAAGTCAGAGATACTAAGTTGAATTACATAATAAAGAGCTGAGCCAGAACAGGATAGGGAGAGGAAAGTAAACACTCCACGCAGACTGTGTTGGAGGGAAAGCTTTAGGAGCTTAAGCCAAATGAGACAGATGTTGGCGAGCCGATGTGAAGGTCAGAGATATTAAGAGCATATTTTGGGAAAAGAAGACTAAAAAGTTTTGTCACGTATCACAAAAGGATTCTTTCTTGCATGTTCTTCAAAGAGACTCCATAAAGATTTAGATAATTTCCATTGTTTCTAAACTTTGGATTGATGTTTCTTTGAATGCCACGCTTTGCTTGCTAAAAGAAGACCACCAGGCAGCTGGCTCATTATGAATGACATCTGGGTACCTACAACCATACTTATACAATAACTAAACTTCTCCATGACCGGGACCTATTTACTGATTTCTCCATGACTGGGACCTATTTACTGATTTCTGTATGTCCTTATTTCACAAAGCCTGGAAAATTTTACAAATAATTGTTTCTCAAAAGTAATTTAATTGATGCTAACGTTCAGTAGTATTTTATTTTGTTTTCACTTTACTTAAATATTTGGGATAATCTGATGACTAATTTAATTGTCTTGCACAATTCAGGCATTCCATACATGTTTGCTGAACTAAATTTGGATGACTTGGTAAACATATTCTAAGCTTTTCATATAAGTATGCTATCATTTCAAAATGATGTTTTTGTCTTAAAATCAGGATGGTTTGCATCCTTCATATGCTTTAAAGTACCTGATATACTCTCAAGACACCCCTAAGGCTGTGAATGACAGGTTAAAATAACTTAGTCATTCTGAGCTGATGTTGTTCATTTTAGAAAAAGGACATACAACGTTTTCAAGCCAGAAGGGATTGGAACACCTGTTCTGTAGCCCTCTCAATACATCTTAAATTAATATCTGTGTTCTGAAGTTCTTGGCTTATTCCAGACCATAGGGATTTGGGGGAGGGAAGGAGGAAAAAAGAAAGGGAATGAGAAGGAGAACAAGATACCAATTTCTGAACCCTTGTACTTAATAACCCACCAAAAATCTATACTGTGATAGAAATAAATATATTAGATTATAGAGGTTATGACTTCTTGTCTAATTCTTGACCATAATTGATCTCTTCGAGTGTCCTAGTTAAAACTTCAAATTAGCTCCAACTGAAGATTGTCATGACAACGAACTGGCAGACTTAGTCATTGGGATTTATTTGATATAACCCAGGATTTAGCTGCTTTATTTTCTTAAGTCCTGGTTAGTATACTGGAAAAAAGAAAACTTTATATGTTCCTTCCATTTCTCAGTTTTCGAATGTTATAAACAAATTAGTTTGCCAATTCACCAAAACAAATACTAGTTTTTCTTTCTTTCAGACATTCTGTTTGACATAGAACAGAACTAGAACACATCTAAAAAATCCCTACTTAAACCTGAAGAAGCACTTTCTAAGCTGGAGAACAGAACAAACTCAAAAGCACATTGGACAACATCAGGACTGAAATGAGTTTGTTCTGCTCAAGGACTGACCCACTCACATGCACCATTCTAGTCAGGACATGAAAGCAAGTCACAAGCCTTGGTTACGGCAAGACAGGCCCTCTGGATTCCTCCATCTGCTTATATTCGAATGCCCTTCTTTCCTCCTATTTATTCCTAATTTGTTTATATGCAGAGTCAATCTCTGAGCTCAGATGCTGGGCTCACTGTGATCAATTTGATACCTACATCTGACCTTCAGGGAAATTCTGATGACTCTCACGCCAACCATGGGTTCCGTCTCTTCATCTGAGAGCAGCATTTGGGTGAAAGAATCATTTTTAGAGATGAGAGAAAAATTAGTCCCAGGAATGGTTAAGTAATTGACCATAGGTAGCAAAGCTGAGTGGCTAAGCAAAATCTAGAATCTTACCCTTACAGACCCTCGCTCTCTTGTTTTGGACAGTCTAAGCTGAAAAGACAAATGGATTCAGAAGAAAATAATCATATATATAT